TGTTGATAAAAGGGCTGCAGGAGAGTGTCTGGGTAGAGTTGACAACGGTTCAAGGGATCCCGGTCATCTATACCTGTTTAGTGACAGTCAAGGGGTCCCGACATTGGGGCCCTGCATGTCTGTCTGTCTGATTTCTTCTCGTCCTTGGTTTTCTTTCTTATTCTTCTCTTTTGCCTTGTCTTGCCTTGTTCTGCAGGTGCACGAACACGCACACACACACACACACACGCGCGCGCGCACGCACGCACGCACGCAGACGCACACACAAGTACGTACAGATGAGCCACGCTTCGGCGGGCAGGCAACAAGAGTTTTCTTTGACTCAGTCACCGTCGACGACTCTGAGCATATCGATATCGTAAAGGGATGTGATGATGTTTGAGCATCCAAGCTGAACGAGTATCGGGATGAGGATGCTATATCACATGTACGGTCAGAAGGTGGGAAGAAAACAATGTTTCTCTTCTCTCCTGGCAGTTTACTCTTACTCTTGCAACACGTCGTAGCAGCCGTTTCTCATCCATGCAGCCGGCTCCACGGGGAATGTGGGAGAGGGACGGATGATGATACGACGTAAAACTGGAGAGAGAAAGGACAGAGAAGGATAATTGGAGAAGGACAGCTAATACCAGACTGGGAGGGAAACATAGGACGGGCTCTCTCTCTCTCTCTCTCACCCCTTTACACAAGTCACAAGTACTACTTGTAGTAGGGCGACTGGGTCCTTGAGAGCATGCGCCCTAGCTGCATGTATTACATCGTACGCGTGGGAACGAAGAAGGGAAAAGAAAAGAAGAAACAAAGGCAACTTACGGAAGTAGAACTGGGGCTGGTCGTGGCAGTCGGTACTTGTTGGAGAGTTTCCCGAGGTGCAAGGTGGAGCATAAAGGGGCGGGGGGGGGGGGGGGGGGGGGGCGTGCGTATTATTGAATGGGAGAGCAATAACAATGACAGCAGTGACAGCCTTACCACGCTAGGATGGAGAGTGAAAAAGTACGAGCACCTGCACGGAGTACATGATATACATCATACATAATATACATAATATACTCCATACAGGTAAGCTATGTTCCTTGTCTGTAAATCGAGGAGGGGAAATGGGGCGGGGGGGGGGGGCCACTCGTTCTCGTATACGGACTCAATGAACTACTGATACTGCCCGTACTCGTACAAGTACACACGAGTCTATAGTACTAGTGAGACGGGGCGTGGGCCTGGAGAGGAGGAGGAGCGGACATGGGATGAGCGAACAATGGTGGGGAATATGCGACAGGCTAGGACGGCTTGTTATTACTCGTTATTACTCGTATATTGTCGGAGCTTATTGTCTGGTCCCTGCCGTAGTGTTAAGTCGAGCCCTGAACCTTGGCTGCATGATCCGTACGGAGCACTCGTACTGATCGTTCGTGGTCTACGGATACGGTCGTAGTTTACTCGTACCAGGTACCCGACTGCTCGTAGGACTAATGCTATAGTATGTCGTAGTAGTAGCAGTAGCAGTAGCAGTAGTAGTAGTAGTAGTAGTAGTGGTAGTAGTAGTAGTAGTAGTAGTAGTAGTAGTAGTAGTAGTAGTAGTAGTGGCAGTAGTAGTAGCAGTAGTAGTAGTAGTAGTGGTAGTAGTAGTAGTTGTTGCTGTTGTAGTCCCGGGTACAGATTGCAGATTACAGATTACTCGGACCTACTACCAATACCCAGCCGCCTCTGGCAGTACGTTATCGCGAGCGAGTTACATTGTACCATCGACGCCAACCTGGGTCTCCAACCTGGTGATGGTACTAACTCGGTATCACGGCTCCGCTACTCCGTACGACGCAAAGCTTCCTGAAATGCTACTCTGTCCAGGCAGCTGTGTGCTGCCGCATGTGGTGAGGGAGAGCTGGAGCAGCTACGGGTATATATTAATCTGCATCCTCTCTACGCTGTACGGATTACATTGTAGAGTAGTAATATTGCCATTAGCTCTGGCACTACTACCTGGACGAGCAGCTACCTGCTCCGGGTACCGTCACATTCGCGACAACTCCTTTTTCTGTTATATGTGCGGGTACGCACGTCTGACCGCGCCGCTCCTCTGCTGGATTGGTACCTGTACCCATCCATGTGTGTGTGGGTGTGTCCGTGTCTCGAGAGGGAGGATCCTCGTGTCATTTAGGGCTTTCCGCCCGGTGGCTCACAATCGTCTGGGGCTCCATCGAACAATGCCGACGGAGTATTGTTATTATTATTGCTATCATCATTGTCATTACCATTATCATCGCTATCATTACCTTCCATTGCTGTTATAGCCATCGTTATTATCATTATTATCACTGCGGATACTTGTTATTATCGTTGTTGTCATAGTCATTATTTTATTGTTACTGCTACTGCTACTGCTACTGCTACTGCTACTGCTACTGCCACCGCCACTGTTACTGTTATCATCGTCATCGCCGTCATCATTATATATTACGAGCAGCAGCATGCCAGCAATGCCGTCCCCTGCCACTACTACTACGTACTGTACCAATGCTATCCTGTCCGTACTATAACGGAGCATAGAACGTATGTCCTGCTTCATCGAGATTAAGGCCAATCCCTCGAGACCGGCGATGTGTCAGATACCTCTCTGCCCGGTCGCTGGCACACTGCTCCATATTACATGCTAGTACCTGTTGTCACTCGTAATATGTGACTGCGGCATTCGTGCTCCGTGCAAGTCTCTCCGGAATTAGGTGTCTGGAGACAACCCACCCACCCACATACACACGCACATGAGTCAATATGGCTGTGGCGCCGGATAATAAATCTGATTCCATTCTCTCGGTGAGCACCCGGATGCTGGCAGACCAATTCTCTCTCTGCTTGCTGTCCGCGGGGCGCACAGGTACATGCGTGGTACTGCGTAATTACCCATCGCAAGGAGGGTGCAACGTGACCCATCAATGCTACGTCGTCGGTATGTACGGAGCATTGCGGATAAAAAGGGCAGATGCTGCAATGCATATTGATGAATGCTACACATCGGTTACTATATCTACGGAGGGCTAGTCGGTAGCAGTGGCCTTCTAGATGATATCAACTCTCCGCCGGACGGGGGCGGTCCTGATCCGACGGAATGAGCTGCAACCTCAACCTCTTTCTACGGGATGAGCATCGTGGCGTCGAGGTGCAGGTAAATTAGCGGGCCCTGGCAGTTTACGGCCACCATATGTCCCCTGCCGTTGGAGGTGCCGAGAGTACGAGTATAGGTAGTGGTAGCCTGTAGAAGCTCGGGTTGCGCATGTAATTAGATGTGAATTATTACAGTCTATAGATGTACTCGGTACGGGTTACACGTTCTGGTATATCTGGATTAGTCGTGCTATATACCAGCTGTATACGTACATGTATGCGCGCAGGCAGTCGAGAGAGAGCGTGTATGGCGGGCGCTGGCTTCAGCTGTCGAGATGAACTGACGGGATGCGCAGAGAGCCTATATCAGTCGACAGCTATTACAATATACCAGCGAGTGCGCCCGGTTCATGTGGTGGTGGCGGCAGCAGCAGCAGCAGCAGCAGCAAATTACTACTAGTATAGTAGTCATAGTAGTCATAGTGATGGTAGTCATAGCACTCGTAGTGGCACCGCGTAATGCTAGGGAGTCATTGTCTGTATTCGTCCTCATTCAACCCTCGTCATCCCTACATGTACTAGTCCACTCCTTTTTGGATTCTGGAAGCGGCGCGGCCGTGCGGTGACGAGACGCTAAATAATTGCTACGACGTGCGTCTCCTGGTATATGTACGAGGGCGTACGGGCTAGCTGTGTTCGTGCATTAGTCGGATGTACGAGTATGTGCGACGGTAGTACGACGTGACTACTGAATACCAAGCAGCTGCGAGTAATACAGCTAATAATAACAGACAGCAGTCGGGCGCGGGAGATGCAGGCCTCGGCAGAATGCAGGGCGGGAGGGAGTGATCTGCCTATTGCAGAGGTCTCCCAGGAATACGGAGTATTGCGGTCGCTGGTGCGTTGATGCGATAGTACCTACTGCAGCAGTACTGCTACGATCTAGCTCGTGAGCGACGTGCCAACGACGGCATCACGGTGACATTGACATTTCCACATGCTCTCCTCGCTTATGCATGACGGTCCTCTCGATCTTCCGTCTCTCTCTCTCACGCTCACACGCTCACTCTCTCACAATCTCTCTCACTCTCCCTCACAACCTCACGATATCTCCCACTCCCACTCTTACCCTTCTTACGACGACCAATCCTCTTCGAGCATGCATGCTTACCTGCTCCCTCTGCACCATTGTTCCATTGTTGCATGTACGAGTCTCGCACAACCCCTCATGCCGGTCCGTCGACTAGTTCTGAGCACGCCCCGGCACCCGCGCCCGACTGTTTCAGCGCCGCAAGGTATAGAATGTACATGTTTGCAGACTGCGAGCTGCGGCTGGAGGCGCCCTCGAGCGAGAAGCGATGTTGGCCCGACAGCAGGGAACGCTGCGAGAGCCCGGCTCTCCATGAGGAGCAGCGGCACACCTCCAGCCCGTAGCCCTGCACTCGGTCTGCACTCTGTCTCGTGCCATGCCAAAACACCATGCGGCAGGGGCCGTGCGAGCGCTTGCTTCGGGTCCTGGACTTTAGCCTGCGCCGGACGCAGCAAAGCTTGGACATGTAATATCCAGCACTCTCCGATCGCCGCTTCACCACTGCTACCAGGAGCAGCAGTGATACGCCGTCAATGTCAATAGTAATCACCTCGTCGTAATCACCTCTGTCCCGAGAGATCACTACTGCTGCTACTGCTACTACTGCT